TCTTCTACTACACACCTACTTTTTCTTGTATTTACTTAACTACTACTAGTCTTAGTCTTGTAAGAATACTAACCTTTAACGTACTCGTCTTCTCTAACTACTAACTTAGTTACTACTACGACGGTACCGTTCGTATCTCTCTCTCTCTCTCTCTCTCTCTCTCTCTCTCTCTCTCTCTCATGGGTCTAGTGAGAAGCCCAAACATGAGAAGTGGGGACTATTTGGAAGGGATGATCTCGGATTATGTGAGCGCAAAGGTGAAATCGAGAACTCATAAGAGCAATTCAGCTCGCTTAGTCACGGTTCTAACCTGCCTCCAATTCGCTTTTGCCATTTATGCCACCTTCCTCCTCTATTACATGAGCCCAACCATTGACCTCAGAACAAAACCCGACTTTTCATGGGCAAGCCGAATTGCCAAACACTGGAAACAGTTCATAATTCAGCCCAATGTCTTAGGAAACCACCCGGAGATCAATGGCCTCTCATCGGAAATCCCCCAATTATCAGTTGTTTGTGAACACGAAACTATTGATTTTCAACAAAAGAAATCGAATGATCAACATATGATCAGAATCAAGAGAGAGCTCTACAATGAAGTGTTGGAGTTCCAAAAGAAGTCCTTTGGCGCGGAAACTCTATCTGAGCTCAGGGCCATGGATTCTCAATGGAAATCTCTTAAGAAAACCCCGAAAATCACCGTGATTTTGAACCATTTTAAGAGGAAAACACTTTGTTCTCAGCTCGATTCGCTTCTTCACCAAACTGTTCCCTTCCACAGCATATGGGTCCTTGCTTTTGGAAGTCCCAACTCTCTCTCTCTAAAGAGAATTGTGGAGAGCTACAACAATTCAAAGATCAGCTTCATAAGCTCAACCCATGATTTCAAGTACTATGGGAGATTTCAAATGGCCCTTCAAACTGAAGCTGATTATGTCTACATATTGGATGATGACATGATACCAGGAAAGAAGATGTTAGAGATTCTTTCTCATGTTGCAGGGACTGAGAAGTATAAGAACTCAGTTTTGGGTAGTATTGGGAGGATATTGCCATTTAGACAGAAGGACTACACATTTCCAAGTTATCGAAAATTTAGGTCTAAAGAGGCTGGGATTTATTTACCTGACCCTGCCTATGGTATCACTGTTGATAAGGTGGTTCAGGTCGATTTCCTATCAAGCTCCTGGTTTTTATCTACTGATCTCGTTAAGACCTTGTTCATAGAGACTCCTTTCACTTTCATGACTGGTGAAGATCTGCATCTCAGGTGAGATTTCGACTTGATCTTGTCCAATTATATGACACTGAATCCATGGTAGTGAATGTCCTCCTATTCTCTCAAATTATGAAAATCGGCATTGGGTGCTTGAAATCTTACTATAGTAATCTGTTTTATCAATGTTTATATTTTTTGACTGTTGTTTATAGCTAGTAATTTACTGTGGAAAACAGGGGTTTTTACTGGATTTTTTTTATTTCATTGTTGGCATATTTTTGACTGTCAAATTACTGGGTTATGAAAATGGAAAGAGGATCCTTTTTTATATTTTATAACAGTGCTCTGTTTCTCCATTTTTTGTAATTTTGACTGGTGCACATACCCACTAATTTACTATAGGAAACTTCTTTTTTTTTTTTCTGGGTTTTCAGTTATTTCATTGTTGACATGTTTTCTCGCTCTGAGTTCACTGGGTTAATTGACTGTAAAAATGGGCATAGGGTTTCTTTGAAAATTTATTCTAGTGCTCTGTTTTTTCTTTTATTATATTCTTAACTGTTGTATCTAAGACAAATGGGATTGTTTCCACTGGGTTTTTCTTTTTTTTTTTGTTGATATATATTTTTTCACTGTGAAGTTGATAGATGATAATAAAAGCTTCTATAAGATAAGATAATAAAAGCAACATCCCAAAATAAAAAATAAAAAACGAAAGAAAAACAAATAATAAAACCGTAAGGTTCTTAGTTATGGGATGGCCCTTTAACACAATTGCTTGCTCTTCTCCTTTGATGAAATTAATGCATGAATGTCCAAACACAGCTCCTCATCACAGAAAACAGGAAGAGAGTATCAAAACCTTCTAACACAATTATGTTTTTATTGAATTTCCTTCCTGTGCATGTTTTTATTGTTGTTTGTGTGTTTGTGTGTGTGTGTGAGTGTGTGTGTGAGTATGTGTGTGTGTGTGAGTGTGTGTGAGTATGTGTGTGTGTGAGAGAGAGAGAGAGAGAAAGAGAGATTCTTCAAACATTGTCATATATTTCTATAAATTTACCTGTATCTAGAAGGTGAAAGAGACATTTTCTTCTAAGTCCATTATATCTATAGATTTTCCTTGTATTTGAAAAGTGACACATGGGGATTTCTTTAACCAACCATGAGATAAATAGAGAGAGAGAGAGAGAGGGGCTTTTTTTCCTTTAATCTAACACTAACTCTCTTGCAGCTACCAGCTCCAAAAGTATCGAGATGCGGGCTCATTCGTCCTCCCCGTAAACCCCAATGACAAAGAGACATGGGGTGACAGTGAGCACCGCCTCGCTTACGTTTCTGAAACTACCGTCATTTTCAAAAACATCGTCGAAGTTCGTGACGACCAATGGTGGAGAGCCCTCTCCACTGGCTATGTAACTCAATGGGCTTCAATGTACCCTCAAAAAATCGATGCCTTATTTTATGCTCATTCCATTGAAGAAGTCAAGAAACTGTCTCCTTTGATTGCAAAATTCCGATCAACCCCTGGTAAAAAGGCCTATGTTGTGGTCTCCGGTGGACAATATTGCCCTTGTGAGGAGGCGGCAGTTGCTTTGAATTGGCCTAAAAATGCATGTAAAGAGAGGAGATTCAAGATTTTCGACTTAGGTGTAGGGGCATTGGCTGGAATATCAGGGTCAGGGGTACCGGTTTTGCAGTCAGTCTATTCGAGCATGCGTGGATTGATGAGGATTCACAATCCAAGTGTGGTGATTGCTTTGAAGGGGGTTGATGAGAATGTCAAGGAGGGGCTTAGGACGGCAGTTTCGGGCCATAACAATGGTTCACAGATGATTTTGTTCCCAGAAAATGCGGTACCTAAGGTTCTTTGGATGGCCAATCTCAGGTCCACAGCTATTCCAAGTAAACTCTCTCTCTCTCTCTCTCTCTCTCTCTCTCTGTGTGGCTGCATCACCTAAAAGGAAAAGTATATTGTGATCCATGTGATCATAGAAAAGTTTCTGTCATAAGTGTTATCACCATCCAATCATTTGATGGATGGTGATTGACGGTAAGTGGGACCCATTCTGTCTCCATCACCCTCCACCGATTCATTGGATAATGATAACACTTATGAAAGTAGCTTTTCTGTGATCTTATGGATCGTAGTACCTTCCTTTGCTTAAAGTGCCCCTCAAGGCAATGATCTGGTAGAGTGCCATCGCTATAAGACATGTAGATGTACATTATTGATCATCACCTTCCTCTCCAATCTAACTGTGAGCAAGTAGTCTTTGCACCATATTCAGGTGGGGGCCACCTCACCCAACACGAACAAAGCCCACCCCGCCTTTTCTCTCTATTGTGTCTGCATGTGTTACTTCCCTTTATATTACTGGACAATTCGATTCCTGAGCCATTGGCTTAATCTCAATTTCTATGTTTTTCAAAGTTTCCTCTCATGTCTTTTTTTTCTCGATTTATTGATTGAAACATTTGCTAAAAACAATTTGCAGATTGGAACAAAATGCGGATTTCGGTGAACATCATCACACAAAACAGGGTGACATCCCTTCAGCGGCTCCTCCGGTCACTCTCAGAGGCCTACTACCTTGGGGACGAGGTCCCCCTAAGCTTTAATATGGATAGCCAAGTTGATGAAAGTACCCTTAGACTTGTGAACTCCTTCGAGTGGCCTCATGGCCCCAAGACCCTACGCCGTCGAATCATCCAAGGGGGTCTCATCAGAGCTGTGAGCGAGAGCTGGTAATGTCTCAATAAAAAAATAATGTTTTCTAGATGATTATGTTTTTCGATCTTTAACGCAATTAGAATCTTTTCAGTTGATGTTACACGAGCAACTTAAAGCTAATGAAGGGCATGTGTGATATGATCAATATGCTCATGATAACAACATGATCAAGAGTCTATCACCATCCATCAATTGGTTGGCTGGTGATGGAGGGAATGGGTCCCACCAAACACGTCATTAATTCATTTGTACATCTCATTGTTCCTTCATCGCTGCCTAACGTGTTTCATAACATGTGATGACCCACATATTCATGTTGTTATCATGACTATATCCATCATACTGTAGTTTTTTTCCTTTAGCCAATTCTCTTACATGATGCAAAATGTTCTCTTTTCCTGAAAAGTAATTTTTATTTACAGTAATATTGGTAATACATTATAATGACAATAAAATTCTGAACTAATTGATAAGTTTATTTATGCCGAGAGATATAGGCAATTTTTAAGATGATATTAACATGGTACCACCTAAAAAAAATACTCCAAGTACTTCTGTATGAGTCTCTACTCTAAATCACCAAAAATCTATTTGGTGAAAACCATCAGACATGCAGTAGTTTTTTCTTTATTTTGAATTTTTGTGCAGTGAAGATTTTTTTTTAAGCTGTTTTGTGCAATGAAGATTGCCCCAATTGGTCAATATTGTTATCATTTAAGCCATGTTTTTGGACTTCCTTTCACTTATGCTATGATCAATTCGATAGGTACCCCTCTTCCGACAATGACTTTGGCCTCCTCCTCGAGGACGACATCGAGGTCTCTCCCTACTACTACCTCTGGATCAAGTATGCCCTCCTAAATTACCATTATGACCCTCAAGTCTCTCTCCCTGAGCTCTCGTCCATATCTCTCTACACCCCTCGCTTAGTTGAAGTGGTGAAAGAACGGCCGCATTGGAACGCTACTGCTTTCTTCAAACACATCCATCCAAACACCCCATACTTACATCAGCTCCCTTGCAGTTGGGGTGCAGTCTTCTTTCCTAAACAGTGGCGAGAATTTTACACTTACATGAACATGAGATTCACTGAGGATGCAAAGAAAAACCCAGTTCAAATCCCGAAGTCTAGAACAAATGGATGGCAAGCTTCATGGAAGAAGTTCTTGATTGATATGATGTATTTACGAGGATACGTTAGCTTATATCCTAATTTCCCTGACCAAGCTAGCTTCTCGACTAATCACATGGAGCCGGGGGCCCATATTAGTGCTAAAGATAATGTGGTTAAGCACAATAAGTCCGACTTTGAGGTGCCGCTCCTTAAGAGAGACTTTATAGAGCTTCTGCCTAGTGGTAAAATGCCCCCGGCTTCGAAGTTGCCGGTCCTAAACTTGTTTAACCAAGCTGTGTCATTAAGGGGACTTAAATCGGCTGCTGCTAAGTTAGCACAAGATGTGCTCCCATGTAATGGCACTGGTCTTGTGGTTGTGGACCATGAGACTGGGGGGCCAAGCCATTGTGCGGGGTTCAAATGATCTCTTTCTGTCTTCTTTTATTTTTCCCATTTGGGGCTTAATTTTTACATTTTGTCTTTGGAATTTGCTGGAGCTGGGGAGATGCAGTGCTTTCTAAAAAGGAGGATGGTGCTGCTTCTTGTATTCTTTAAACAGAATTGTGAATCTCTTTGTTTCTTCATTCTCACATGTAATTTGTTTGATTATGGTCTCTATATATGTGTTTTATGGTCTGTATATGTTGGAAAAAGTTTATATAAGGTTGCAACCTTATAATGTAGAGCTACGGATGCACCTCAAAAATCCATCGGAAAAGGTAGTTTTAATGTTGGAAAACCCTTTGATTGATCATCTCGACATCAAGATATATGACCATGAAAAATAAATAGATTTTAAGTATTAAAAATAGTGCATTTTACAACATATTATCTACACCGTCCATTTTCAAGATTTTCACATGTTTATAGATGTACTTCATTTTAACTATTTTTTAAATTTAAAATTTTATAATTAGATATAAAAATATATTTTGAGATAACCCTAAGGACATTTTACATCAAAATTATATATCATGATAAACTTTGAAGGCACAAATTACCTCTACAGCTATGGATGCATCCGTATGCCAACTGCACCCTTATATGTTTGCGTGTGGACCGATGGTAGACATCGCAGTTAGGTAGAGGAACAAAGACTTGTGCATCATCGAGAGAGGGAGAGAATATGGAACACAGACCTATACTAGAGCCTTCGTCCCCCTTATCGAATGTGTGTTAGAGAGAGAGAGATGGGATGGGATATCGAGATTTGTTTGAGAGATATGTGGGAATTTGTCTAAAAGACGTGTATTCTTTATTATAAAATAATTTATTTTTAATACAAAAAAATCACAACCACTTTTATCCGTTTGATTTTAATAATATTTGAATGTTGTTCAATGCATTTATAAAGACATTGTCAATAGAGGAATGTCACGTCTCAACCGCCAGATTAAGATGCAACATTGTAAAAGTTAACAAAGGTTTCATAAGCTTATGATTAAAATTTCGGGTCATTTGGTTATGATTTGACTTGCTTTCCAAACTCGATACGGGTCGCTATTTATCTAAGGAAAAAGTTTACATAAGTTTGCAATCTTAAAATATAAAACCAAGGTGCACGTCAAAAATCATAAGTTTGCTATCTTAAAATATAAAATCAAGATGCACCTCAAAAATTCCATCTTAAAAAGCTGTTTTGATGTAGGAAAACTCTCTATTTGATCATCTCGACATCGAGATTTATGAATTTGGGAAAAAAAAAAAAAGAAGAAGATTTTTTGTCCCAAAAATAGTATATCTTGCAACACATTATCTGGTCTGTACACTTAAGATTTTCATGTATTTATAGATTTACCTTATTTGAATCATTTTTGGAGTCTGTAATTTTATTAGGGCGCAGTTTGTATAGAGTCGAAGCTCTAAACAATTAAAATAGAGCACACCTTCAAATAATGTTGAGAAATGTGGTTTTAATATTGAAAATCTTTGTGATAGCCTTAAAATATATTTTCATATTTAATTATAAAATTTAAAGCTTCCAAAATAGTGTAAATCGAGCAAATCTGTGAAAACTTAAAAATCTTGAAAAATTGACAGTCGAAAAATGTATTACAAGATGCATTATTTCCATAACTTGAAATCCTTTTTTTTCTCATGGATATGCATCTTAATGTTGAGATGAGAAATTTGAGGATATTTGGGCATCAAACAATTCCTTCTAGTGAAATTTTTGAGGTGTGCTCTAATTTGATTGTTTAGAGCATCGGCTCTATATAAACTTTTTTTATTTTATATTGGGATTGTATAATATGAAACCATTTATTGATCACAATTACTTTTAGCCATTGAATGTGAAACTCAATATATAAAAGTGAATCACAACATTTGAGGAATTTTATTTTGGTCTTTATGCCTTAATAATGACACATCCTCAACCACTTAATCTTATATCTAACGGTTAATTATAATAGTGACCTCTTTATATCAAAATTAAATGGTCTCATTGTATACAACTTCTTTTATAATTAGAAATGAAAATGGAGTTTTAGGCCCCAAAATTACATTTATTGACCTTAATCTGATTATTTAAAGCTGCAACCTTAAGGAAACCACATCCTTTATCTTAATGATTGATGTTCTTTAGGTGAGTCAGCCAGGCCAACTACGCCAAAGTTTTCTTTAAAAAAAAAGTAAATATTGTTTAAAAATGGCAAAAAAAAAGAAGAAAAAAAGATAGATAAAATAAAAATTAAATATTTAATTTTCGTAAGTTCAAATATTTTAGGGGTCGAAGGTGGGAACGATTCAAAGCCCCTAAAATTAGAGAAAAATATAAGAAATGATTGACACTAATAAATTGATTAAGAAGTCAGAGGTTTTGATCCAAAAGTTGATAGGGAACTTTTAGAGCAAAGAGAAAAAGATCAAATGCAACAAATTTGAGAGAAAGTAAGGGGAAAACAAGAGTAAATGATAAAAAGTTGCAGATTGGGTTTAGAGTAGCAAAAAAAGCCCCAAATTATGAGCTTCTTATTTGTAAATGTTGTTAAAAATATTGTAAATCGATGAAAGAACGCGTAAAAGTGAGATTGAAAGTTAGAGAGAAATCTCAGTAATGGAAGATGGGTATCAAAGACATCATAAATCAAATATTTTTTATATTTTAATTTGTAAAAAAATTAATCCCCAAGTTCATCCAATACTGTAGGAAGTCAGGCTGGTCACCCACCCACTGGTCTTAAGCCATCTCGAGCAATTCCAAGTCGATTTTTTCAGCACTAAGCTAAACAATATGGTGTGGTAGCATTTTGGCGTATCACAATATGCTAGGTGGTCCGTTCCTTTGAAGATCACTCGAATCACTAGGTAAAGGTGTTATAGTTGCCAAAAAGATATCCTACTCCCGCTGGAGTATACGTTTCATCTAATACATTAAGAACATCTTTTAGATCTTAAATTTTAGGGATGTGATATCTACAACCCGGGATCCAACACTAAAGAAAAAAATTTTGACTCTCAGTCTCTATGTGCCTAAAACGAATGGCATCCCAAGATTGCACTGGAACCATCAAATTTTTTAAGGAAATTATCTAGATCCTCAAGAACTCAAAATTCAATTTTTTTTCTTTTATTTTTTTGGAAATAAAACTTTTTCCATTCTATTTTGATTTCAGTTATACTGTTTGTAACCTTCAACAGTTGTGCAGTTTCGTAACCTCAGCTATGCATTTTGACCTGAATTTGAGCTCGTTATGTAATTTCGAAATCAGTTAATGTGTAGCTCGGCCTGAAAAAGAAATCCTAAAAAGATTAGACATTTGACAACCTTAAGTGTCAACAATCTTAATATTACGCTAGATATGCCCGTGCAAGGAGGCCACATCGGCTATGGAGCCAGAATTAGGGGTGGCAACGGATCCGGGACCCGACTAAAAAATAATTAAAATATTTATGTATTTAAATATGGAAAATGTTTATATAAGTACAGGGCTCTAAACAATCAAATTAGAGCGCACCTCAAGAATTTCAGTAGAAGAGATTGTTTTGATGCTCAAATATCCTCAAATTGATCATCTCGACGTCAAGATGCATAGACATGAGAAAAAAAATAGATTTCAAGTTATGAAAATAGGGTATCTTGTAATGCATTTTTGGAACTACTATGTCGACTTTACACTATACATATAAGGCGCACTTTTAAATTTTGTTGGAAGATATAGTTTTAATGTTAAAAATCTTACAATGCCTTGAACATCGATGTTGTGAAATATGAAATTCTAAAACAATGCAAATCGAGCAGATCTATAAACAATTGAGAATCTTAAAAATAGACATCCAAAAAATTAATGCCCTCGAGGTCGAGATGATCACTATGAAAGTTTTCCAACTATGAAATACTCTTTTTGTAGAGAAATACAGATTCCACAACACCGGAACAATCCGCTTCTCAATTAGTGTGACAATAGCACTAATAAAAAGAAGAAGAACCAAGACGAAGTAGGAGAAAAACTTGCATTAAAGAAAAAAAAAACATAGAGTACACAAAAGCATTACAATCTCAATACAAAAGATTAACCTTAACACATGTGACTCCGGGGTACACAAATGCGGTACAATCTTGACACCAAAGATTAACTTTAAACATATGGCCCAATTTTCTCACCACATACCTCTATTTAAATAGAGATTTTTATAACCACATTTTCTACAATAACTACCCACTTCCAACTATAATGACTAACCACCTAATAGTTTTATAACTTCCTACCACACAAACTTACAAGTGGAACCTTACTGCATCACTCATGATAGAATAACATAAAAACTAATATACTTTTAAAAATATATATTTTAACAATTTTAACACTTTTCTACTGGATTTTTTTATTTTCACCTTATTTCTATAATATAAGATTGAAACCTTATATGAAATTTTTGTTTTTAGAAGTTAGTTGTAATCTTACATATAAAAAGATATAATAAGTACCTAATCCTTACATGCTAGCAACTTACCCAATTAGTAAAATGAACAAATAAATAAACAAGAAAAACATCTTACTTAGGAAAAGAGTATTGGTAAACATAGAAGAAAGGTATATAGAATCTGAACATAAAAAGTGAAGTTCTCTCTAGAATATGCATTTTCTAATCAAGGTATACAAGGGCAAGGTAAACCAAGAAGCAGTTATTTAATTCCTCTCTATGTCTCTGTTGAGTGGTGGGAATCAGTGCTAATTTCCTTATCCCTTTTTCTTTTCTTTCTTTTTTTTTGTCTTTTTTTATTTTTTTCTTCTTCTTTTTCCCCTTTTTTTTTTGTTTTTTTTTTTTTTTCAAATTATGTGGTTCCTTGTAATATAAGATCTACCGGGCATATGAGTGTTTGTAATGTAACAGTTGAAAGATGTTGTTTTTTGGGAGTGACCTGATTGGTTTTGGGGGCCCACTTAGATTTGAGAACATTGGCCTAAGGAACCACTCTTTCACATACCTTTGCCAGAAGTAAACTATATTTGTAAGGCACTTGAGAGGGCCCACCAAAACCTTGTTGCTGGTTAGATAGTTTAGACCCTTTTGAGCCACACAAAAATTAGATGTCCCCATCCCCTTTAACCACACTTAAATCAAATCCCACAAAAGTAGCTGTCGGGACACAGAAGGACTCCCACAAAAACCATCAATGTCAGTGGTTCTTTCTCTC